ACGCGCAAAAACCGCCCAAAAAACAAAAAACATCAAGTAAATTGCACCTAAACAATTCAAACAAGTTTTGTAGGGCCCTACGGTTCATTGATTTTTGGGCTGTGAGGCTCATAGATTTTTGGGTTGTAAAATTCATAGATTTTTGGTTTGTAAGACTCATAAGTTTTTTGGCCGTAAAACTATGAACCGTGACATTGGCGTGACTCTTCATCAGCACCAGTCCAAAAAAAAGACCCTTGGGTGCTTCGTCATGGGTGGACATCAGCATGTCAGACATGTCAGTGTTGCACTCTTGGTTGAAACAGGACCTACGTTTTTTATTTTATTTTGTTTCTGCCTTCGTTGATCAGCGTTCTTTGTAGTTTTTGTGGTATAGAATCTAACCTTGAATATCCAATGAAGGTAGGGACTGAACTGCGCAGGCCAGCTAAGCTCAGCTATGCTGCAAGATGCAAAACCAGGCCTTTTGGGATCTGCATGAAAAGGAACTAAGCATGGAAGCATCGGTTTTGCAGGACACCGAAGGGCCGAAGGGTTTCTTCGTTGAAACGTGCACTTTGGAGATCAACAATCTTGAGGAATTCATTGTCCAGGCATGCAGTGAATGGATTCAGATTGAGTTGAGTAGATGGCGCATCCGAAGCCATTCAAGGATACTGAAGGTGTTTTCTGCTTCCATCGTGTTAGCATCCAGCAATGTTCACTGGTCAGCCCGTGTACCCTGGACAACAGATGTATGCAGTTCCAGGTGCCGTGACTACGCTCCCATCTCGTGTCTCTTACGTGACGAGTGGTGCTGAGATCCCTGGCGGCATGGCTGCCCCAGCTGTGGCTTATCCACAGATGGCACCACAGATCTATGCTCCGTCAGCAATGGTCTCCCCTGGAATGCAGACTCAGACAAGGGTTGTGACCCTGAGTGTATCGGAGGCTGAGGTTCTTCTGGCACAAAAGGCTTGGTCAGATGCAATCAAACACATTTCCAAGACCTATCTTGAGGGAGGCGACTACGTTGCAGCTGCTGCCAAAGCAGCCGGTGAGCTCTATGGCTATGGCCACTCTGATGTGCTGTTCAAGCCAACCAAGGCAGCTGAAGCACAGTTTCGACCCACAGCCTCAGATGCCATGTCCTACTTTGTTGGGCACAAGGCGGTCGAGAAGGGTTATCTTGAGGATGCTGGCTTCGCCATCAACGGTGGAAAGGGATGGTCAAATGTGGTTTTTGACAACCACAAAATTGATGTCACTGGCAATGTTGCCATTGCCATGGGCAACTACTTCTTCACCAGCGCTGCAGATGGAAGCAAGACCAAAGTTGAGTACACTTTCGGCTACAAGAAGAATGCGGACGGCAAGGTGCGCATCTTCCTCCACCACTCCTCAGTGCCATACAGCGTGCCTGCAGCCACTGCATCTGGAGCGATTACTGAAGAGGAAGTAAAGAGTGTGCAGGCAGCATGGGCCAATGCCATCAGGAGTATCTCCAAGACTTATCTTGACGGAGGCGACTACGTTGCAGCTGCTGCCAAAGCAGCCGGTGAGCTCTATGGCTATGGACACACAAATGTGCTGTTCAAGCCAACCAAGGCAGCTGAAGCACAGTTTCGACCCACAGCCTCAGATGCCATGTCCTACTTTGTTGGACACAAGGCAGTCGAGAAGGGTTATCTTGAGGATGCTGGCTTCGCCATCAACGGTGGAAAGGGATGGTCAAATGTGGTTTTTGACAACCACCAAATTGATGTCACTGGCAATGTTGCCATTGCCATGGGCAACTACTTCTTCACCAGCGCTGCAGATGGAAGCAAGACCAAAGTTGAGTACACTTTCGGCTACAAGAAGAATGCGGACGGCAAGGTGTGCATCTTCCTCCACCACTCCTCAGTGCCATACAGCGTGCCTGCAGCCACTGCATCTGGAGCGATTACTGAAGAGGAAGTAAAGAGTGTGCAGGCAGCATGGGCCAATGCCATCAAGAGTATCTCCAAGACTTATCTTGAGGGAGGCGACTATGTTGCAGCTGCTGCCAAAGCAGCCGGTGAGCTCTATGGCTATGGACACACAAATGTGCTGTTCAAGCCAACCAAGGCAGCTGAAGCACAGTTTCGACCCACAGCCTCAGATGCCATGTCGTACTTTGTTGGACACAGAGCGGTCGAGAAGGGTTATCTCGAGGATGCTGGCTTCGCCATCAACGGTGGGAAGGGATGGTCAAATGTGGTTTTTGACAACCACCAAATTGATGTCACTGGCAATGTTGCCATTGCCATGGGCAACTACTTCTTCACCAGCGCTGCGGATGGAAGCAAGACCAAAGTTGAGTACACTGTCGGCTACAAGAAGAATGCGGACAGCAGGGTGCGCATCTTCCTCCACCACTCCTCAGTGCCATACAGCGTGCCTGCAGCCACTGCATCTGGAGCAATTACTGAAGAAGAAGTAAAGAGTGTGCAAGCAGCATGGGCCAATGCCATCAAGAGTATCTCCAAGACTTATCTTGAGGGAGGCGACTACGTTGCAGCTGCTGCCAAAGCAGCCGGTGAGCTCTATGGCTATGGACACACAAATGTGCTGTTCAAGCCAACCAAGGCAGCTGAAGCACAATTTTGACCCACAGCCTCAGATGCCATGTCGTACTTTGTTGGGCACAGAGCGGTCGAGAAGGGTTATCTTGAGGATGCTGGCTTTGCCATCAACGGTGGAAAGGGATGGTCAAATGTGGTCTTTGACAACCACCAAATTGATGTCACTGGCAATGTAGCCATTGCCATGGGCAACTACTTCTTCACCAGCGCTGCAGATGGAAGCAAGACCAAAGTTGAGTACACTTTCGGCTACAAGAAGAATGCGGACGGCAAGGTGCGCATCTTCCTCCACCACTCCTCAGTGCCATACAGCGTGCCTGCAGCCACCAAAGTGCAGTCCCCAAGCTTGGTGACAACTTTGCAGCCAACATTGGTTGGAGCATAGATTTGATCTCCGAGAGGTCTGCTTTGGTCACATCTTTAGTTTTTTTCGATGCTGACGGTGACTTGAAACAGTTGCCTGGTCTGGTGCTTTGCAAAAGTTTTATTGCACTTTTCTGCACGTTTGAGGCTTTTTAGGTTTGTCCTTTGTCCAGCTTTTGCCTCAAACATTTTTGTGCAGTATCAGTATCAAATTGATTTGTACACATGATATAGATTTAATGATTGAATTTTTAGCCGGACCTAGGAGCCGGCTGCGGGGATGAAAAATCCCCACCAGAGGAGATATCTTTCGAAGTTTTGGGAAGGGCCAATGGGCTGCCGAAGGCCTAAGCTCTTCAACCAAGCAGCCAGTACATAGCTGTGCTTTGCTTGGAGACCCTTGCAGCTTTTCGCAATCGCCCGCCTCAAAAGTTGCATTTGGAGTCCAATTTGGAGTCTCTTTGTCTCTTGAGCGGAGCGCGTTTCTGAAGGTTTTGAATGAGATTGTCACTGCAACATCTGAGAGCTAAGACTGTAAGACTTGGTGTCTGCCAGGATCTGGTGAAGGTCCTGTGCTTTCCAGAGTTTTTCAAAGCCTTGGACATGAGCAGGATGGGCTGACGCTGCCCACAAGTGTTTCTTGCAATAGATGGGAAACTAGTGCAAACTTTGGAATATGGATGAGTAGGAAAGATCGTTGCTAAAGAGAGCCTAAAGACACCCAACATTTTATCTAGCAGTTCTGCTTGAGTTGTTTCATTCTCGGTTCCAGCATTTGAGCTGCGCAGGCCAGCTATGCTGCAAATTGGAAAGCAAGGCTGTTTGGGATCAGGATGAATACGAGTCAAGAACGGAAGCATAGGCTAGAGGCCTTATACGTCCTTGCAAGGTTTCTGCGTCGAAACATGCAAAACATGCACTTTGGAGATCAACAACCTTGAGGAATCTGAATTCATTGTCCAGGCATGCAGTGAATGGATTCAGATTGAGTTGAGTAGATGGCGCATCCGAAGCCATTCAAGGATACTGAAGGTGTTTTCTGCTTCCATCGTGTTAGCATCCAGCAATGTTCACTGGTCAGCCCGTGTACCCTGGACAACAGATGTATGCAGTTCCAGGTGCCGTGACTACGCTCCCATCTCGTGTCTCTTACGTGACGAGTGGTGCTGAGATCCCTGGCGGCATGGCTGCCCCAGCTGTGGCTTATCCACAGATGGCACCACAGATCTATGCTCCGTCAGCAATGGTCTCCCCTGGAATGCAGACTCAGACAAGGGTTGTGACCCTGAGTGTATCGGAGGCTGAGGTTCTTCTGGCACAAAAGGCTTGGTCAGATGCAATCAAACACATTTCCAAGACCTATCTTGAGGGAGGCGACTACGTTGCAGCTGCTGCCAAAGCAGCCGGTGAGCTCTATGGCTATGGCCACTCTGATGTGCTGTTCAAGCCAACCAAGGCAGCTGAAGCACAGTTTCGACCCACAGCCTCAGATGCCATGTCCTACTTTGTTGGGCACAAGGCAGTCGAGAACGGTTATCTTGAGGATGCTGGCTTCGCCATCAACGGTGGAAAGGGATGGTCAAATGTGGTTTTTGACAACCACAAAATTAATGTCAGCGGCAATGTTGCCATTGCCATGGGCAACTACTTTTTCACCAGCGCTGCAGATGGAAGCAAGACCAAAGTTGAGTACACTTTCGGCTACAAGAAGAATGCGGACGGCAAGGTGCGCATCTTCCTCCACCACTCCTCAGTGCCATACAGCGTGCCTGCAGCATCTGGAGCGATTACTGCAGAGGAAGTAAAGAGTGTGCAGGCAGCATGGGCCAATGCCATCAGGAGTATCTCCAAGACTTATCTTGACGGAGAGGACTACGTTGCAAAGCAGCCGGTGAGCTCTATGGCTATGGACACACAAATGTGCTGTTCAAGCCAACCAAGGCAGCTGAAGCACAGTTTCGACCCACAGCCTCAGATGCCATGTCCTACTTTGTTGGACACAAGGCAGTCGAGAAGGGTTATCTTGAGGATGCTGGCTTCGCCATCAACGGTGGGAAGGGATGGTCAAATGTGGTTTTTGACAACCACCAAATTGATGTCACTGGCAATGTTGCCATTGCCATGGGCAACTACTTCTTCAGCAGTGCTGCAGATGGAAGCAAGACCAAAGTTGAGTACACCTTCGGCTACAAGAAGAATGCGGATGGCAAGGTGCGCATCTTCCTCCACCACTCGTCAGTGCCATACAGCGTGCCTGCAGCCACTGCATCTGGAGCGATTACTGAAGAGGAAGTAAAGAGTGTGCAGGCAGCATGGGCCAATGCAATCAGGAGTATCTCCAAGACTTATCTTGACGGAGGCGACTACGTTGCAGCTGCTGCCAAAGCAGCCGGTGAGCTCTATGGCTATGGACACACAAATGTGCTGTTCAAGCCAACCAAGGCAGCTGAAGCCCAGTTTCGACCCACAGCCTCAGATGCCATGTCCTACTTTGTTGGGCACAGAGCGGTCGAGAAGGGTTATCTTGAGGATGCTGGCTTCGCCATCAACGGTGGGAAGGGATGGTCAAATGTGGTTTTTGACAACCACCAAATTGATGTCACTGGCAATGTTGCCATTGCCATGGGCAACTACTTCTTCACAAGCGCAGCAGATGGCAGCAAGACGAAAGTTGAGTACACTTTCGGCTACAAGAAGAATGCGGACGGCAAGGTGCGCATCTTCCTCCACCACTCCTCAGTGCCATACAGCGTGCCTGCAGCCACTGCATCTGGAGCGATTACTGAAGAGGAAGTAAAGAGTGTGCAGGCAGCATGGGCCAATGCCATCAGGAGTATCTCCAAGACTTATCTTGACGGTGGCGACTATGTTGCAGCTGCTGCCAAAGCAGCCGGTGAGCTCTATGGCTATGGACACACAAGTGTGCTGTTCAAGCCAACCAAGGCAGCTGAAGCACAGTTTCGACCCACAGCCTCAGATGCCATGTCCTACTTTGTTGGACACAAGGCAGTCGAGAAGGGTTATCTTGAGGATGCTGGCTTCGCCATCAACGGTGGAAAGGGATGGTCAAATGTGGTTTTTGACAACCACCAAATTGATGTCACTGGCAATGTTGCCATTGCCATGGGCAACTACTTCTTCACAAGCGCAGCAGATGGCAGCAAGACGAAAGTTGAGTACACTTTCGGCTACAAGAAGAATGCGGACGGCAAGGTGCGCATCTTCCTCCACCACTCCTCAGTGCCATACAGCGTGCCTGCAGCCACCAAAGTGCAGTCCCCAAGCTTGGTGACAACTTTGCAGCCAACATTGGTTGGAGCATAGATTTGATCTCCGAGAGGTCTGCTTTGGTCACATCTTTAGTTTTTTTCGATGCTGACGGTGACTTGAAACAGTTGCCTGGTCTGGTGCTTTGCAAAAGTTTTATTGCACTTTTCTGCACGTTTGAGGCTTTTTAGGTTTGTCCTTTGTCCAGCTTTTGCCTCAAACATTTTTGTGCAGTATCAAATTGATTTGTACACATGATATAGATTTAATGATTGATTTTTTTAGCCGGACCTAGGAGCCGGCTGCGGGGATGAAAAATCCCCACCAGAGGAGATTCTTTCGAAGTTTTGGGAAGGGCCAATGGGCTGTCAAAGGCCCGCGCTCTTCAGCCAAGCAGCCAGTACATAGCTGTGCTTTGCTTGGAGACCCTTGCAGCTTTTCGCAATCGCCCGCCTCAAAAGTTGCATTTGGAGTCCAATTTGGAGTCTCTTTGTCTCTTGAGCGGAGCGCGTGTCTGAAGGTTTTGAATGAGATTGTCACTGCAACATCTGAGAGCTAAGACTGTAAGACTTGGTGTCTGCCAGGATCTGGTGAAGGTCCTGTGCTTTCCAGTGGATGGTGGACGGATTTTGCTTGGACGTGGGCAGGATGGGCTGACGCTGCCCACAAGCGTTTCTTGCAGTGGGTGGCAAAATAGTAGAATATTCGAAATATGGATGAGTATGAGAGATCGTTGCTCAAGAGAGCCTAAAGACACCCAACATTTCATCTAGCTGTGCTGCTTGAGTTGTTTCATTCTCGGTTCTAGCATTTGAGCTGCGCAGGCCAGCTTTGCTGCAAATTGGAAAGCAAGGCTGTTTGGGATCAGGATGAATACGAGTCAAGAAGGGAAGCATAGGTCTTGTAGGTCCTTGCAAGGTTTCTGCGTAGAAACATGCACTTTGGAGATCAACATTCTCGAGGAATCTGAATTCATTGTCCAGGCATGCAGTGAATGGATTCAGATTGAGTTGAGTAGATGGCGCATCCGAAGCCATTCAAGGATACTGAAGGTGTTTTCTGCTTCCATCGTAATAGCATCTAGCAATGTTCACTGGACAGCCCGTGTACCCTGGACAACAGATGTATGCAGTTCCAGGTGCCGTGACTACGCTCCCATCTCGTGTCTCTTACGTGACGAGTGGTGCTGAGATCCCTGGCGGCATGGCTGCCCCAGCTGTGGCTTATCCACAGATGGCACCACAGATCTATGCTCCGTCAGCAATGGTCTCCCCTAGAATGCAGACTCAGACAAGAGTTGTGACCCTGAGTGTATCGGAGGCTGAGGTTCTTCTGGCACAAAAGGCTTGGTCAGATGCAATCAAACACATTTCCAAGACCTATCTTGAGGGAGGCGACTACGTTGCAGCTGCTGCCAAAGCAGCCGGTGAGCTCTATGGCTATGGCCACTCTGATGTGCTGTTCAAGCCAACCAAGGCAGCTGAAGCACAGTTTCGACCCACAGCCTCAGATGCCATGTCCTACTTTGTTGGGCACAAGGCGGTCGAGAATGGGTATCTTGAGGATGCTGGCTTCGCCATCAACGGTGGAAAGGGATGGTCAAATGTGGTTTTTGACAACCACCAAATTCATGTCAGCGGCAATGTTGCCATTGCCATGGGCAACTACTTTTTCACCAGCGCTGCAGATGGAAGCAAGACCAAAGTTGAGTACACTTTCGGCTACAAGAAGAATGCGGACGGCAAGGTGCGCATCTTCCTCCACCACTCCTCAGTGCCATACCGCGTGCCTGCAGCCACTGCATCTGGAGCGATTACTGAAGAGGAAGTAAAGAGTGTGCAGGCAGCATGGGCCAATGCCATCAAGAGTATCTCCAAGACTTGTCTTGAGGGAGGCGACTACGTTACAGCTGCTGCCAAAGCAGCCGGTGAGCTCTATGGCTATGGACACACAAATGTGCTGTTCAAGCCAACCAAGGCAGCTGAAGCACAATTTCGACCCACAGCCTCAGATGCATGTCCTACTTTGTTGGGCACAGAGCGGTCGAGAAGGGTTATCTTGAGGATGCTGGCTTCGCCATCAACGGTGGGAAGGGATGGTCGAACGTGGTTTTTGACAACCACCAAATTGATGTCACTGGCAATGTTGCCATTGCCATGGGCAACTACTTCTTCACCAGCGCTGCAGATGGAAGCAGGACCAAAGTTGAGTACACTTTCGGCTACAAGAAGAATGCGGACGGCAAGGTGCGCATCTTCCTCCACCACTCCTCAGTGCCATACAGCGTGCCTGCAGCCACTGCATCTGGAGCGATTACTGAAGAGGAAGTAAAGAGTGTGCAAGCAGCATGGGCCAATGCCATCAAGAGTATCTCCAAGACTTATCTTGAGGGAGGCGACTACGTTGCAGCTGCTGCCAAAGCAGCCGGTGAGCTCTATGGCTATGGACACACAAATGTGCTGTTCAAGCCAACCAAGGCAGCTGAAGCACAGTTTCGACCCACAGCCTCAGATGCCATGTCCTACTTTGTTGGGCACAAGGCGGTCGAGAAGGGTTATCTTGAGGATGCTGGCTTCGCCATCAACGGTGGACAGGGATGGTCAAATGTGGTTTTTGACAACCACCAAATTGATGTCACTGGCAATGTTGCCATTGCCATGGGCAACTACTTCTTCACAAGCGCAGCAGATGGCAGCAAGACCAAAGTTGAGTACACTTTCGGCTACAAGAAGAATGCGGACGGCAAGGTGCGCATCTTCCTCCACCACTCGTCAGTGCCATACAGCGTGCCTGCAGCCACTGCATCTGGAGCGATTACTGAAGAGGAAGTAAAGAGTGTGCAGGCAGCATGGGCCAATGCCATCAAGAGTATCTCCAAGACTTATCTTGACAGAGGCGACTACGTTGCAGCTGCTGCCAAAGCAGCCGGTGAGCTCTATGGCTATGGACACACAAATGTGCTGTTCAAGCCAACCAAGGCAGCTGAAGCACAGTTTCGACCCACAGCCTCAGATGCCATGTCCTACTTTGTTGGGCACAAGGCAGTCGAGAAGGGTTATCTTGAGGATGCTGGCTTCGCCATCAACGGTGGAAAGGGATGGTCAAATGTGGTTTTTGACAACCACCAAATTGATGTCACTGGCAATGTTGCCATTGCCATGGGCAACTACTTCTTCACCAGCGCTGCAGATGGAAGCAAGACCAAAGTTGAGTACACTTTCGGCTACAAGAAGAATGCGGATGGCAAGGTGCGCATCTTCCTCCACCACTCCTCAGTGCCATACAGCGTGCCTGCAGCCACCAAAGTGCAGTCCCCAAGCTTGGTGACAACTTTGCAGCCAACAGTGGTTGGAGCATAGATTTGATCTCCGAGAGGTCTGCTTTGGTCACATCTTTAGTTTTTTTCGATGCTGACGGTGACTTGAAACAGTTGCCTGGTCTGGTGCTTTGCAAAAGTTTTATTGCACTTTTCTGCACGTTTGAGGCTTTTTAGGTTTGTCCTTTGTCCAGCTTTTGCCTCAAACATTTTTGTGCAGTATCAAATTGATTTGTACACATGATATAGATTTAATTATTGAATTTTTAGCCGGACCTAGGAGCCGGCTGCGGGGATGAAAAATCCCCACCAGAGGAGGTATCTTTCGAAGTTTTGGGAAGGGCCAATGGGCTGTCAAAGGCCCGCGCTCTTCAGCCAAGCAGCCAGTACATAGCTGTGCTTTGCTTGGAGACCCTTGCAGCTTTTCGCAATCGCCCGCCTCAAAAGTTGCATTTGGAGTCCAATTTGGAGTCTCTTTGTCTGGAGCGCGTTTCTGAAGGTTTTGAATGAGATTGTCACTGCAACATCTGAGAGCTAAGACTGTAAGACTTGGTGTCTGCCAGGATCTGGTGAAGGTCCTGTGCTTTCCAGTGGATGGTGGACGGATTGTGCGAAGGAGCTTTTCAAAGACTTGGACGTGGGCAGGATGGGCTGACGCTGCCCACAAGCGTTTCTTGCAGTGGGTGGGAAAATAGTACAATTTTCGGAATATGGATGAGTATGAAAGATCGCTGCTCAAGAGAGCCTAAAGACACCCAACATTTTTATCTAGCTGTTCTGCAGTTGTTTCATTCTCGGTTCCAGCATTTAAGCTGCGCAGGCCAGCTATGCTGCAAGATGTAAAGCCAGGCTGTTTGGGATCAGGATGAATACGAGTCAAGAACGGAAGCATAGGCTAGAGGCCTTATAGGTCCTTGCAAGGTTTCTGCGTCGAAACATGCAAAACATGCACTTTGGAGATCAACAATCTTGAGGAATCTGAATTCATTGTCCAGGCATGCAGTGAATGGATTCAGATTGAGTTGAGTAGATGGCGCATCCGAAGCCATTCAAGGATACTGAAGGTGTTTTCTGCTTCCATCGTGTTAGCATCCAGCAATGTTCACTGGTCAGCCCGTGTACCCTGGACAACAGATGTATGCAGTTCCAGGTGCCGTGACTAGGCTCCCATCTCGTGTCTCTTACGTGACGAGTGGTGCTGAGATCCGCGGCATGGCTGCCCCAGCTGTGGCTTATCCACAGATGGCACCACAGATCTATGCTCCGTCAGCAATGGTCTCCCCTGGAATGCAGACTCAGACAAGGGTTGTGACCCTGAGTGTATCGGAGGCTGAGGTTCTTCTGGCACAAAAGGCTTGGTCAGATGCAATCAAACACATTTCCAAGACCTATCTTGAGGGAGGCGACTACGTTGCAGCTGCTGCCAAAGCAGCCGGTGAGCTCTATGGCTATGGCCACTCTGATGTGCTGTTCAAGCCAACCAAGGCAGCTGAAGCACAGTTTCGACCCACAGCCTCAGATGCCATGTCCTACTTTGTTGGGCACAAGGCAGTCGAGAACGGTTATCTTGAGGATGCTGGCTTCGCCATCAACGGTGGAAAGGGATGGTCAAATGTGGTTTTTGACAACCACAAAATTAATGTCAGCGGCAATGTTGCCATTGCCATGGGCAACTACTTTTTCACCAGCGCTGCAGATGGAAGCAAGACCAAAGTTGAGTACACTTTCGGCTACAAGAAGAATGCGGACGGCAAGGTGCGCATCTTCCTCCACCATTCGTCAGTGCCATACAGCGTGCCTGCAGCCACTGCATCTGGAGCGATTACTGAAGAGGAAGTAAAGAGTGTGCAGGCAGCATGGGCCAATGCCATCAGGAGTATCTCCAAGACTTATCTTGACGGAGGCGACTACGTTGCAGCTGCTGCCAAAGCAGCCGGTGAGCTCTATGGCTATGGACACACAAATGTGCTGTTCAAGCCAACCAAGGCAGCTGAAGCACAGTTTCGACCCACAGCCTCAGATGCCATGTCCTACTTTGTTGGACACAAGGCAGTCGAGAAGGGTTATCTTGAGGATGCTGGCTTCGCCATCAACGGTGGAAAGGGATGGTCAAATGTGGTTTTTGACAACCACTGGCAATGTTGCCATTGCCATGGGCAACTACTTCTTCACCAGCGCTGCAGATGGAAGCAAGACCAAAGTTGAGTACACTTTCGGCTACAAGAAGAATGCGGATGGCAAGGTGCGCATCTTCCTCCACCACTCCTCAGTGCCATACAGCGTGCCTGCAGCCACTGCATCTGGAGCGATTACTGAAGAGGAAGTAAAGAGTGTGCAAGCAGCATGGGCCAATGCCATCAGGAGCATCTCCAAGACTTATCTTGACGGAGGCGACTACGTTGCAGCTGCTGCCAAAGCAGCCGGTGAGCTCTATGGCTATGGACACACAAATGTGCTGTTCAAGCCAACCAAGGCAGCTGAAGCACAGTTTCGACCCACAGCCTCAGATGCCATGTCCTACTTTGTTGGGCACAGAGCGGTCGAGAACGGTTATCTTGAGGATGCTGGCTTCGCCATCAACGGTGGAAAGGGATGGTCAGATGTGGTTTTTGACAACCACCAAATTGATGTCACTGGCAATGTTGCCATTGCCATGGGCAACTACTTCTTCACCAGCGCTGCAGATGGAAGCAAGACCAAAGTTGAGTACACTTTTGGCTACAAGAAGAATGCGGATGGCAAGGTGCGTATCTTCCTCCACCACTCCTCAGTGCCATACAGCGTGCCTGCAGCCACTGCATCTGGGGGGGTGCGCGTTCGCTTCGGCCGTATTTTTCAATCGCTTTGGTCATCTGGAGCGATTACTGAAGGGGAAGTAAAGAGTGTGCAGGAAGCATGGGCCAATGCCATCAAGAGTATCTCCAAGACTTATCTTGACGGAGGCGACTACGTTGCAGCTGCTGCCAAAGCAGCCGGTGAGCTCTATGGCTATGGACACACAAATGTGCTGTTCAAGCCAACCAAGGCAGCTGAAGCACAGTTTCGACCCACAGCCTCAGATGCCATGTCCTACTTTGTTGGGCACAGAGCGGTCGAGAAGGGTTATCTTGAGGATGCTGGCTTCGCCATCAACGGTGGGAAGGGATGGTCGAACGTGGTTTTTGACAACCACCAAATTGATGTCACTGGCAATGTTGCCATTGCCATGGGCAACTACTTCTTCACCAGCGCAGCAGATGGAAGCAAGACCAAAGTTGAGTACACTTTCGGCTACAAGAAGAATGCGGACGGCAAGGTGCGCATCTTCCTCCACCACTCCTCAGTGCCATACAGCGTGCCTGCAGCCACCAAAGTGCAGTCCCCAAGCTTGGTGACAACTTTGCAGCCAACATTGATTGGAGCATAGATTTGATCTCTGAGAGGCCTGCTTTGGTCACATCTTTAGTTTTTTTTCGATGCTGACGGTGACTTGAAACAGTTGCCTGGTCTGGTGCTTTGAAACAATTTGAAACAGCTTTATTGCACTTTTCTGCACGTTTGAGGCTTTTTAGGTTTGTCCTTTGTCCAGCTTTTGCCTCAAGCATTTTTGTGCAGTATCAAATTGATTTTCACACATTATAAGTGGGGCTGGCGCCCCTATGCCGCCGACCCCTGGGACCAGTTGGCTCAAACTCGCTTTCTGAACGCCAAGAAAGGACGGATCGGGCCCGCGGCCGGCAGCCCAGAGTGCCAAACACTTTCTGAACGCCGAGAAACTAGTTGCAAACCTTGCTTTTACCTGCCGTTCTGCACTGCCAGCTTCCAAATGGCTTGCTGCGTCTTGCAGGTGGCGTTCGTCTGGCACACCTCAGGTCCAAGGACGCTGCCGCAGCACCAAAACACCATGGCAGTGAAGGACGGATCGGGCCCGCGGCCAGCAGCCCAGAGTGCCAAACGTCGCTTTCTGAACGCTTAGAAACTAGTTGCAAACCTTGCCTTTACCTGCCTTTCGGCACTGCCAGCTTCCAAAGTGCGTGCTGCGTCTGCTTTCTGAACGCGTAGAACCTAGTTGCAAACCTTGGATGTTTTAGTTTCTGGAAGACTGAGTAAGCAAACCACGTCTTGACGCCGTGTGGTGCTCAAGTGATAAGAGGGGTCATGAAAGTAGAAGCTCTTTTCCTGACCTGGTGTCTTAGATTCCTGGAAGTGGGCTATAGAGGAGGTACCACTAAGGAGCCTACGATAGTGGATTGCAATCATACTTGTATCTGCGAAGTGGAGACCTTGAAGTGTCCTGATTGTCCTTTTCTTTTGATTTGGCTGTTAGGCCTAGCTACTGGGGTGATCCTAGCAACGATCAGTCGGGAATTGACATTAATTGGTTCTTGGCGGCGGAATGGCCGGGGCAGTCAGAGACGCCACGGTGGCGGAGTTGTCAGACCTCCGGGTTGGGAAGACACTGGCCGTGTGGTTCTCCGATGACCACGTTTGGCATGAGAGGTTGGTTCTTTGGCCATCAGGTACCACCCCCACCAGCTATTATATCCTCACTCCAGATGATGATGTTTATGTGGAGGAGTTGGATCCTGGAGTCAGTGATGGGCCAGCAAGGACACGTATCAAAGGAGATACCTTCAACTACTGGAGCCGTTTCAGAGAAGGTACTTACAGGTTCTCCCAGGGTGTTGATGATGATGAATTCAAGAGGTCGATTGAGATCGCCATTAAGGAGTCCAAAGATGCCGGGACTTGGGACGATTCCAAAGTCCCTCCCACTTTGCTCGATCGCAAGGGCCGCGAAGTCTCAACCACTGCCTACCTAGGGCGCGTCGTTTCTCGTCGCCGAATGACTGGCAAGGGGCTTCATCAAGGGCCCCAACTTGCGGCTGGCCTTGGAGTTGCAGACTATGACCCCGACCTCAAGAGCAGAATGAAACCTTTGGTGGTTGCCCCCGAGGGGTATGTTTGGATATCAGAGGAGGCTTCAAAGGCGGTAGGACTTGGAGAGGAGTTGCTAGTAG